CTTATAAATAGAGAAATACTGTAAGGCACAGAGACATATGTATCTGAGCCATAACTAATGGGGACAGACATTTCCCACGCTAGAGCTGGACACTGTGGTATGTGCACAGAGTCAAGGTCCTACTGCCTACTGCAAAATATTTTGCACTACTGCACAAAGTGTGCATCAATTATACTGGACATGATACACACAAGTATATACACATACATATATGCACAGATAGATAGATAGATAACCCTACATAACTTTCCAGTTAGCTGGGTGTATGCCAATGCTAGCGGTGCTGTACAGCATTAATCGTCTACATAAAAACTTCAAGACAAAGAGATTTTGCTCCTGAGGAAACCATTCAGAATATATTTTGACCAGTGCCAGCAACGTTAGCTACAAAGAAGAAGGAAACTTTGGTATTGCTGGAGAAGACAACGCAGAACTTCACAATGTGTAAATGTTAAAGAATAACTCCAATTATTTTCTAGGGTACAGTTTCATTAGGCCACTTGATTCAAGTATTGCGTTACAGGGGAGCATGAGTCCTTGGATTCCTGGTATTCACAAGATGCTACTAAAGTGAAGGATTTCAATGTACGCAAGGACTTTATAAATTTTTCCACGGACTGCTTCATTATCCTACCTAGAGTCCTTGCACCTTTCTCTGGGGCTTATAAAAAAACTTCTGAGTATCTTACTCTTGGCTTTACAAGAGACCAAGATTGCGTCAAATGACTAAAAATTTTCTCCTGGAATCCTTGATATCAAGCCTCAGCTTCAAATTATGAAAGGGGAAAGTGCTACACTATTTTACATTCAGTAACACTTTCTAGAAGAAGGTAAAAGAGTCACTTCAAAATTGCAAAGTGTCAGTTTTAACTTGTAGCTTTCCTGTCTCATTATAATGAAATTCAATTTACTCCTAACTAAGAGAAACAACGTCCTTAAGGAACTGGAATTATTACAAATCTGGGAGTGTTTTCTTGTTTAAGGCCCCAGGCAAAATATCATGGGCCTAACACTTTGCAGAGATTGCTATGTAAAAAATATCAAAATAAAAAGACGGTGATATACCTGGAGCTAAATCTTTATATCCTGGAAAGTTGAGAGGGTCTTAAATAATTTGTCAACTAACAGTGGAGGGGAAAAAATAGTAAGGTGCAATTATAAAGAAAAGTAACCAAAGTCATGTATTTTAAAAACACTTGTACTAGCTATTCCAGTATCTTTCTAATTACTTTGGAACTCCTTTGAATACAACAACTTGTTTATTCCTAATGTGTTAATTGGATAAAAGTTATATTTTGTTAATCAAAATACCTGACAGAATTTGTTCAGATTTCCTGTTTGTATAAGGTGGTTGTTTTTTTTTTAAATTTATAATTTAATTTGTATTTTAATCAAAGCATGGAATTTCAAACTTTAAAAAAATTCTGCAGAAGCAAGGACATTTCTACTATGTTAAAATGCTTTTTTATATATATATGTTTGTGTATATACTTTGAAATACCTAAATTAGCACCTTAAGACAAATGTCAGCTAAATATCGTTTGTCTAAAGTTATTAAAAACAAATAAACACCCCCTGCTCCCCTCTCCCCCAGGCCATCATCCCTCCCTTTTTGCCAAACGTGTTACGATTACTTCACAGGTACATTTTCAGATGACTACAGTACAGTACACTATCCAGCTTCTCACGTATAAATGGGAAGGGGAAAAGGAAAGCTAGTGGCCAAAATCATCATCATCATAAAAAAAAAAAAGTGAACAGCAAATTTTCTTTAACAGACAGGTTCACCTGAATTACCTAACAATATTCAGAGCTATGTCAAAAGGCTAAATTATCTTTTCAAAACAGGTACCAAAAATATCCACACAAAAGGAAATCTTTTAAAGGAACAGATGAGACAAATTAGATGAGGCATGCATAGTTATCTAGTGATAAAAATAGAATAGGAAAGTAATCAATAACAATATCTATATTAAATATTTACAATAGGATGCTGTTATTCACATATAGTGGTACTTACATCCCTGTACAGCCAAATCTACAGCCCAAACCAAAGTCAGATGTGAAAGAAAGCACAACAATGTCAGTGAGTACTAGGACGGAGAACAAGGAAAGTGTACATTTTGTTCTTAATAAAAGAAAGCTTTCAATAAATTTGTAGGCATAACATGCAATAGTTTCACATAGAGAAGCTGGCAAATTGAGAGGGAGAAGCTGTACAGTCCACTCACGTCTATGTAGTTGGCATTAATGTAATCTGAAGATGGATCATCTTCAACAGGTTGCAAAATCACCCTGGAGTGGTCATCTGTAAAAACCAAGTGGTTACAGTGCCTTTTTGAAGTGTGATTTTTAAGTGAGATATTATGGTAAATTGTCTAGAAAACCAAAATTAGCTAGCATAAATGCCTTACAATTTACAACCCTTAAACAATGTTTACACAGAATTACAAAGAACCATTTTGTCTGAGGTCCCCAATTACTTCAAAAACATTCACTAAACTTCATTAAGTGTAGCTGCAAGGTATCACACCATTACATGTGGTTAAAAGGACACAAAGAAACCAGGTTACTTGCTCAAAGTCCCTTTTGAAATCAGCTCCACTGATGGTAATCTAGAAAACCAAAAATCCCGATTTCTGTTTCCTTACTTCACAGGCCCCAGCCTGCTTAAGTTCATATTGAGACGTTAAAAAAGTAAGTTAGCAATGTACTTTGGATTTGACAAAGAGGTAACTCTACCCGTTCAGGGACTACTCTGATAGTTTAATTCCTGCGTGTTCGATCGCATTTGTAAAAAAGTAACAAGCTGCGTTATCCCAGGGGATGAATCTAAACTATTGAAACTTTTTGCCTAAAGACAAGAGGCAGAACCTTCTGATTTTAGTTACGTCTCTTAATCATCAGTTTTACACAACTGTATTCAGGTGTTTCAGCTATCATTCACGTAAAGCAGAAAAGTTTTGAAGTCGTCAGATTTACCTGAAATAAACTGTAACTGTAGAAAACAGTCACCGAATTAACATCCAAATGAGTGCTAGCTTGTTGCTGTCATATGCTTACCACAGCTTGCACAACAGAGATGCAAACGTGAAATTCAGCCTGAGTTATAAAAGGAAGAAAGTTGAACTATGACGAACAAAAAAAAAAAAAAAAAAAAAAAAAAATTCCTGGAAAAGGCACTGTCCTCCTTCTCCGCTTGGGGTATTGAGCAGGTATGTCACCGGAGACTTGTAAAGAAAGAGAGAACATGGCACGAGTAACACGCGACTACGGCTACCGCTCAAACCAAGCACACTGATACTCACATGCTATAATGTTTCCATAGCGGTTCTTTGTTCTGTTTTGATCCTTCTTAGCGACATCCCAAGAAGCTGACTGCCCCTCAAAGAAACTCTATAAATAAAAATGTTCCGAAAGAAAACATTCTGACCATTAATTTATCTCCAAAAATAAAGAGTTTAAAAGAACTGCCCTACCATAAAGCAAGCTCAGCTTCACCCGCCTGCTCTGGTCACCCAGATGGCACCATGGTACAGAAATATCTCTAGAGAAGAAGGGAGGCTCTCTCCCTCTGACTGCTATGGGTCAATGGGCAAATCACTGAGGGACTCCAGAGGGATTTAAAATCCTGGAATTGCCGGAAGGCTAAACTTGCTCAGACATCCTTGCGATGTAAGAGCAACAGTAAGCTGAGAAAACACAGGGAGACCGATCACCTTTCTTACAAGACACCATAATATATAGCCTGTTTTCGACAACTTTACATTGCTTTCCTCATATTGCTTAGTAAAACGGCTTTTCTTCCTACAGAGCCATCAGGAAGCCTCTTCTGCCAATGGTTATCATTCATGTTGGTTTTCCTCACATCCTTCCCTCTAGCCACTAGCAAAATTATTCTAGATTTTTGAACTCTTCTTAAGACTCTGATCTCTCAGTAGCGATAGAAGCAGCTTTTATTCCTCCTCGGCTTTTTCTTCGTTGCCCGTAGATATTTTACAGCTGTTGCAGGTCTATGCTATTCTTTCCTTCCAGATGTTGCCTTATTCTGACCTGGGTAAGTTACCTCAGAAAGTACATAGTAGCCACGGAAACAAAACTTTAATGCACACTCAGAAGCTCAAGCCAGGGCAAAGATGTCATGTATGGTAACAGAAGTAGCAGCAAGCAGGAAAACACATGAGGTGGCATCAGGGACCACCCTCCCCCTCAGCAGTGGTTGACACTTGGGCTTAGCCCTGAAGTTAGGCAGAGCATAACAAGGCGTATTTAAGTAAAAGAGAGGAAAAGAGAATTATATTCTTTTAAAAACCACACATTTATTTATTCCAGTTCTTATGTTACAGTAGAGACAGCTGCAGAAAGGAGAGAAGGTTGAAAACTGAGTCAGAAGAGATTATTTACTCAGAGAAAACTCATTTTAAACCCAGCTGTATTGCATGCGACCCTGGCAGTACCGTTCCCATCTTTACTGTGTGCCCTGCCTGATATTCTAATCCCAAAGAATCACAACCGATTCAGAGATCAGAAGTGAAATGAATCTGTACTAATCTTCTACCTCCACTACTCGGAATTTTTTGCTTCCATTTTAACATTAAAGTTGTAAGTAGACATGCTCAGGCAGGTCTAATTAGAACTTCAAGAAGTTACAACCCTCGGCACGTCTTTACTGCTTCTCAGCTGGAGTTTAGTCCCAGTATTGCCCTACTGAGATGCTGTAATAACTCACGAGAGTGCTTCCAGTCAGTGCTTCTCACAAAACCAGCTAGGTTAAATCTTCACTTCAACCTAATCCAGGAGATCTGCGCTGAAGATGGCTCAGAAAGCTCCCATAATTAATTACAGTATTTCAGCTAAGAAACAGCGACACAAGGGTGGCAACTTCTTACAACATG